GCCATTTTTATTTTACAGATAGACTAGTTACATTTTGTTTCTTCTTTCTAAATTATTTATTGACTGTAAGATTTATTTTTTATTGCTAATCCAAATATACAAGAGTGGATGCAAACAATGTTTGATATGAGTTTATGGATATTGTTGACTGAATTTCCATAATCAATCATCACGCCAATAAATCATGAAGGAACGGGAACAACTCTTGGCCCTTGCAATCTAGGGCGGGTTTAAAAATTTGTTTAGTGACTTAAAAATTTAGAGTTAGTAAGAAAATTTCAAAGTTATTGGTTGTTATCAGTTAACTAAAAGTGGCCAGGATTAAATAAATAACACGATTGGATATAATGTAATAATTATGATTAAATAAATAAGCACGATTAAGAAATTTAGAGATAAATAAATTTGATTGTGAAAGAAAATTATCTACTTTTATCTTCCTATTGAAAGCAATTATATTTAAAGTACTGTCAAATATTAAATATGAACGCTTTTTTTAGCAGATGTTTGAATATCGAACTTAGATCAAGACCACCCATTGGCAAAAAAATTGTCCATTTTGACAGCTGAATAATGAATTATTAAGAAATATAGTATGAAGTGTTTTAAAAATGTGGATCACATATTTTTAGAAATTACCGAGAGTGATCGGCAGCTCCATCCAGTAAATGGTTTTGGGAAGACAATATGTGGAAATTAATTATATGGTGAATTAATTTGACTGAATTTATGTTGTTTTTAAAAGAACGTAAATTTTTCCATATACTAAATCCCGCAGTGTGGCATAAAAAATAATATTAATTTATAACGTGATATATATATATATTAGGTGTATTTGACTTGAAGTATTTAAATAGAAAGGATATAAAAGAATTTTTATCTCAAATTGTATAAAAATATTTTCAAAAAAATGCTTTTTCTTAATTCCAAACATCTCCTAAGTGATATTTCATCGCTTTGAAAGTACTTGTACATTTGACGGGGTGAAATACTTTGACTTTTATTGGCTGCTTGGAGTCTTTTTATTTTTTTTGGAGTTACAAAGGGACGGGCTCGAACCCGCAACGCGCGCACACTAAACAATGCACCCTTCACCACACACATATGGGTGTGTGCACTAGTGGGATTATGAGAAAGAGTTCCAAAGATTATTTACTACTCCCTCCGTTCCTTATTATAAGAAACATTTGATGTTTATGGCATGTTCCCATATATAAGAGACACTTAAAAGTTGTCTCTACTTTTTTGTATTGATTTCCTATTTTACCCATATTTATTGTCTCCAACTCACACTCTCTCCCCCTCCCACTTCTCTTTCTTTCAATAATTTAATTGTTTTCTCTCATACTCTCTCTCCTTATTAATGAGGGCATTTTTGGAAAAAAAATTACATTTTTTACACATTGATTGTTCTTAACTAATTTTAACTGCTTTTTTGATTAACGTAATTCGGTTATTCGTCTCTTATAATAAGGAACGGAGGGAGTATCGAACAAAAAATTATTTTTAAAATTTTTCCAATAATTTAATAAAAAAAGTATATGAAATGAATAAAATATATTCATGATGCTCAACAGCCAGTACGTAGCTCAAATCTCAATGAAAATTGTTAACGTTTTATTTCTTTTTTTGTAGTCTCATTTTTATAACTATTTCAAGTGAATTCCGAAAATGGGGTCTTTTTGCTTCTAAAATGTTGTTCTTAGTTTCTATATCATTTTTAAATAAATATTAAATTTAATAAAATATATACTGAATTCATTTTTAAAATATTACTCTCACAAACACACAAGCACTATCGAAATAATCTAATTATTGTTAGTTTAATAGATGTAACGGAATTATATACAGAAGCATAGAGCGACTTGCCAAAAATTTAAAAAGAAACATTTTGACAAGGTGCTAAAAAAATGTTTTTCCATGCAGGTAGCAAATAAATAGAAAGTTCGTTAGTATGCGTGTATGCATTAACACGTCATAGACGCTGTATATTTAAAAAAACAAATTAGAGAAAAAACTATAGTTTTAGATTAATTTAATGTTTTAAAATTATATTACTTTTTTCTATAACTTGAATACAATAATATCATCTTCACAGTTATGAATAATCTAGTAGATTAATAAATAAAATCGAAAACGAAAATTATCATTTGCACGTACTTCTTTTCTTTTTTTTTTTGGGGGTACAATGTACGTTCATTTATTATAAATTATGATTGATTAGTCATGCCAAGATTGGGTTGAGTTGAGTTCCATGCTGCATGAGCTGCAATCATCATGAGTGTGAGTTGTCTAAATTTTATAATCACAGTAATGCTCCACTTGCAGGCTGAGTTGTTCATGGCAGGTTCATGTTGGAGAATTGCAGATGCGAACGCCAGATGCCTCAACAAGGAAAGACGAGCTCTTCTCAACATGAAGCAAGCCTTTTGTGGACAATTATGGTCTTTTGTTTTCATGGAGCTCTTCTCCTGATTGTTGCCAATGGAGTGGTATTCTTTGTAATCCTCATACTTGCCACATTGAGATGCTCGATCTTCATGGTGATGATTAGCCCTCGCAAGGTGAGATTGGCCCATCATTAATGAAGTTGCATAACTTAAATTATTTGAATCTTAGTTAAAATGATTTTAATGGCAGTCAAATCCCCGAATTTTTTGGTTCTCTCACCAAATTAAGATACGTCGATCTCTCTAGTTCTTCTTTCCGTCAAAAAATACCTATTGAACTTTGTAAACTTTCAAACTTGCTGGTTCTAAATCTTATCTCCAACGGCTTAGTTGATAACATACCTTTTCATCTTGCAAACCTTTCAAGTCTGCAAGAGCTCTATCTAAAAGGGAATAACATAGTGGGCAATATTCCTAACCAACTTGGCAATCTTTCAAGCTTGGAAATACTTTCGATTGGCTACAATGCTGATTTGAAAATTGATGACAAGAGCTCGGTTGGCATTGAGTGGCTTTCCAATCTATAATTGTTAACTTCACTTGTCTTAAGTGATGTTAATCTTAATTACTCTAAGAACCTGTTACCAATGATTGGGAAGCTTCCAAACCTAAGAGAGTTATACCTAGAAAAATGTAGCCTGACTGATATTAATATTCTATCAACTCCTCTGTTCCATTTAAATCTTACTCCTTCTCTTGTGTCTCTTGGTCTCAGTCAAAACAAGCTCACATCGTCTTCCCTTGGCTTTTCAATATAAGCTCCAATCACTACAAAAACATTGACTTTCAGCGGCAACATTTTGTCGCTGCTGAAAGTATAAAAGTCACTACTGAAAGTTTTCAGTGGCGACTTGTTACCGTTGAAAAGTCGTTGCTGTAGCGACTGTGGTTGAAAATTTTTAGCAGTGACAAAAAAAGCCACCGCTGAAAGACACTTTCGGCAGTGACTTTTAGAAGGCAACATTTGTCACAGCTGAAAGCTTGTTTTGGCGATGACTTTATTGTCGCTGCTGAAAGAACTTTTGGGGGCGACAGTTAAGTGACTTTCAGCTGCAACAAAAAGTGATACCTAGGAAAAATTGGTTTTACTGACGCCACGTCATCACCGTCGACGCCACGTCATCACTGGCCACCTCCACCTCGTTGCTGTCGGTCGCCACATCATCACCGACTAGATGCCACGTCACCATTTAGCCACCTCCATGTCATCGTCAGCCGCCTCCACGTTGTTGCCACATCACCCTCCTTGCCACGTCATCACCAAATATTTTCAGTTCACCTTAAATGTGTCTTCTTCAGAGTTCAAACTTGCGACCACCTCCTTTTGTATCCAATCGTCTTGCTGTTGAGCAGGATTGAATTTGTTTATTATTATTATAAAATAATATATATTATTAGATTATACTTTTAACGGCTACCCTAAAGAGTCACTATCAAAAGTACACCTTTCAGCAGTGAAAAAAACTGCAAAAGTGGACTTTTAGCGGCGACAAAAAAAAGTCGCCGCAGAGAATGGACTTTCAACGGGGATAATAAAGTACTTGTTGTAATTTATTATTTATTTATTTTTATAATTTAATATTTTAATAATAGTTTTAAAAAGATTTAAATCTTAACCGTTAAAATATTAATTCAATTATTAGAAAAAAAGAAAAAAAAAAGGAGAGAAGAGGATGCCAAAAAAAAAGTGGAAAAGTTTCGAAGCTATGAAGACTCTCAAATCAATAAAGCCAGTTTTTTATTTTCTTCATAGTAATAACTAAGACACAAATATACCTGAATCTTACACAATACAAAGCCACAAAGATAAGATGTGGCCAGCTAATAACTTCAAGCCATTACACATTTAGCTACGGGCCATTGGAAAACTCATCAGTAAAACGAGTTTCTATATTCTATTAAGTGTCTATCCATGAACCCAACCTTCCCAAACCAGAATACTCATTTAGATGTTGGGTGCTTAGTCCAACTGGGGGTTCTTCCTGTAGCCCCAGACAAACTCGTACATCTCCTTCCCATCAGCAGGTGACTTTTGAATACTTCCTCTCTTCAAGCATCTCTTTGCCCATTCAATGATCTTAGGACACTCTGCTTCCACTTTAAAGTTCCCTATTGTCTCATAAACATAGAACCATTTATAGAATGGAATCAAAGCAACATCCACGAACCCAAATGTATCACCTCCAAATTCAAAATCAATTCTTTTTCGCTTGCTCATGCTCTTCAACTTTTCCAGCCCAAATCCTCTTGCCAGCCCTAGGAATCTACAGATTTTGGTAATAACGCTTTCAGTACTGATAAATTTCATTAGACGGTGATTTAAATAATACAACTGACACTAGCCTTGGAGCCAATAAAATCAGCCCAGAATTCGGCTTGAGCTCTCTGATAAGGATCAGATGGAGGTAATGGAGCTTGACCCTTCCATGCCTCATCAATATACTCCGCGATTATGAGGGATTCGTTGATGGGCTCGCCGTTATGGATCAGAACCGGGATTTTCTTGTGAAACGTGTTCATTTGCAGAAGCAGAGGGCTTTTGTTGGTCAGATCCCAAACATGCACCTTTGCATCCAGCAAAACAACCTCGTCTGCCATTATCAAACACGGCCACTGAAATCTCCAGTTGAAAGAATGAAACAGTGAAGTAAAAGTTACAGACAAGAACTGGATATTTCAAGAACAGAGAATAGAAAAGATATTAAAGAAGAGTGGATGATCCGTAACCCTTCGGTTTTGCCTGTCGGTATTTAAACATAGTCCACAAGCTTATGTTTTCTTATCGTTTCTTTGTGGGAAGTGGAATTCTGGGACCATCCCATCCTTTATGTCGCGCTTGTTGCTTCTTCAAAGTAGCTCTTGTAGTAAACGTTATGCGAGTACACAAACTTTTCATCGTGCTCAGCCACAAACCTTGTGGATACTATGAGTCTAGAAATTTCATATAATTAGAGGAACATACTATTTGACTTTTAACATTTATCAACAAGTCTTTTATTGGGGTTTTGAATTATTTGAGGTAGGAACTGGTTATTTTGTGTCTTTCATTAGTTTCTACTATGAATTATCCAGAGCACACGTTTCATGGAGAATGCAATGGGTTTGGGTGAGTCCGTGGTTTGGCTTTTCCCACATTTGAGGAACCACACGTTAACAAATGTCGAAGACACAACCGAGTTTTTTCATCGTAAAACAACATCAAGAACATATTCTTACAAACAATTTATTTTACTGCATAATCACCAGACACAACCAAGTTGATTTCACATTCTGACACACCAAAGGATCCACCACGCTAAACTCAAACTTTAAAAACAGTGTTTGTATCAGACACTTATTATTTCTGTTTATTCTTGGCACAAGTTTTGTATTCTTCATGTGTTTCTTCAGTCCAATTGACTTTTCTTTCTGAAATCAATAACAAAATCGTAGATCTCCTTCTCAGCAGCAAGGGATTTGGAAACACTTTGCCTCTGGACGCATCTATGAGCCCAGGAAATGAGCTTAGGACAATGTGTTTCCACCTTGAAGTTGCATAATGCCTCGTAAGTGTAAAACCAGGGATAGAATGGAACCAGAGCAATGTCAACAAACCCAAAGGTTTCACCTCCGAAGAAAGTTTTGTCGCCAAGTGTCTCTTCCAATTGCTTCAAGCTCGCTATTATCTCTTTCTTTGCCTCTTCGTGTTCTCCTTTCTTTCCTGCCCATATCCTTCCTCCAACATCTCCCACCTGCATTTTATTACCATGATTAAAAGAGAGACTTAGATCGAGAAGTTCTGAAACATTGGGAAATTACCTTCTTGTTGACAAAATCAGCCCAGAATTTGTCTTGAGCTCTGAGATAAGGATCAGAGGGAAGCAAAGGGGCAGTGTCTTTCCAGACTTCATTGATGTATTCGACTATTATGAGGGATTCACAAATGGGTTTGCCTTTGTGAATAAGAACAGGGATCTTCTTGTGAATTGGGTTCATTTGCAGAAGCAAAAGGCTCTTGTTCCTCAGATCTTCTTCCCTGTACTCGTATTTGATTCCCTTCTCAGCCAACGCTATTTTGGCTCTCGTCCCAAACATGCTCAGCCATTCGTCCAATAACACTAACTCTTGCTCTGCCATTATTCAGCTCAATGAACCTTTCACTTTCTGCAGAACATAACAAGTACGAAGGAAGAAATTATAGGCAATAGATCTCAACAGCTGAAAGACACGTGTCGTTCTTTCTTCTTCTCCCCCCCTGTTATATATTCTCTGTTCATCTGCTGCTCTTTTCTGGCAGATCCCTTCAACTCCACGTTGCTCATTCGGTATTTCTCTTTTTTTTTTTAATTAAAAGTCAATGATTTCGATTACCTAACACGTGAATGTAGGATTTGAAGTCCTATAATTGAGACGAGACTTAAATATGCCACTAATGCTCTGAAATTTCTTGCAGGAGAACGCACGGATATTTTTTTTTAAAAGCTTTTCCTGTCTTTTTTGTCACTCATGTTTCATTAATAATTTAACAGAAACAGACAAACTAGTGAATTCCATACGAGGAACAAAGGTCAATTATTGAGACTAACAATAAGTAGACAAACCCAGTAATTTGCTTGCAGATGCTTTCTGGTGCATTGTAAACAAAGATAGCCGTCTTGCTGATTTGGTAGCATACATGGAATACTATGGGCGCAGTAATTTGCTTTCAGATGCTTTCTGGTAGGCCAAAACTGGCTCTCAGAGTTTCTTCTCTTGGATCTGGTTCCTGATGTTTATATTGGACTCCTTTTAGGCCGAAGCAATCAATGCAGCGCAGTAGGGGCCACTTACTGTAAACCCTTCATGACGGACTCAGCTAGGATAACAATTAAGAGGTATAGGAAGCTAAAGTGCTGAGTCTATTTCTCACATGATGAATCAATCTTTAAATGAGATGCTTACAATTAGTGCCAAACAGAATTTCGAATAGAATTATCTCTAATAAAAAGATACCTATGCCTAGCTGGGGGGCAAAAAAAAAATCAGAGACTCAGCCTGAGATTGATGCGGGGTCGCATTTTTCTGGGGATCCAATGTTCTTGGGGCAGAACTGCCATTCTCTTGAGTTCCATTGGGCTTAGTGTCTTTAATTAGACCCAAACCAAAACCCTTCGGTCCCATTTGGTATGAAGTGTGGATAATGAAAAGTAAGTGTTGGGATTGAGATTGGAAAAAACCTATTAAAAGAGTATTCAGTATAAAGGATTATTTATTACTTGAGACTAAACAAATCCATTTTAGTGAGATTGGGTGAAAATAGCATCCAAACTTGTATGTCATGAGATTGGGTAAAAATAGCATCCAAACTTGTATGTCATGATCCTTTTTTATTAGTTGTTTTAGCTTTGGAATAATGTGCTGGGGCTGTAATTTTATTGTAACCTTCATCGGTATGATTTTTATTGTCATATTATCTATACTCAGAAATTACATTAGACTATGACGAAATCATGAGTTATACAAAACTCTCCCTCCTAATTTTTATGAAAGCTGCATTCTCAACTATCTATCAAAAACAGGGACAGCAAGCAAAACACAGGATGGAGAAAGATTTTATTCTGGCAGAAGCACTATGAATTTGTAGGCTTTGCTTGGTGTCCCTCTTTTGCACCAGTGGGTTCTTCCAATGGCAGCCTCCTTAGTTTTATGTACAGACGACGCATCACAAACTATTTTCACAGAATTCCTGATGTTTTTATTTTGGAAGTCATTCCTACTGATCTTCCATATAAGCCGAAGTATGCATGCTCTGTCACAAAGGCTAGAAATTCTCGGCAAATGCTATAAACTTGATTCTTATCATTAAAGAATAGGTTCTTAGGGTTTTAAAATAGCTTTAAGAATTAGATACTATGTTTTGTAATTATTTTGTTATAATTATTATAGTATCTATCAATAAAGTATTTTATTTAGTTTTCAAAAATGAAAATTCTATTAACATATTATAATGCGAATATCTTTATATAAAATAAAACAAACAAAAATATAAAGATGAATAAATAAATTGGACAGTAAATAAATAAACACAATAATTTATTTTATTTTAGTATTTTATGCCTTTGTAAATGGTAGAAAATTACATAACATATCTTTATAAATAGTTATTTTACAAAAAATATAGATAAATATAAACTCTCATAATTTTATTATATGAGTCCAACATTTTTTCCGGAGGATTTACCAAAAAGGGATTAAAGTTATATGTTATAGGTAGCTTTAGAGTAACCTTAGGATAAATTTAGTAGTTTCAAGTTATAAATTAATGTTTTCATATATATGTGATTTTTTGTAGACTCTCACTAAGAGATCTAACCGTTTGGATTCGCTAATTTGACCACTTGTACCTTAAAAAGAGGACAAGTAACTTGGGGTTTTTGGTGTTTTTTTTCTTATGTATATGCCAACATGTTTGTTATGATTGAATATGTAGGGATAAACATATGAGATATTACGTGGTTAGATGTAACACAGGTACGCAGTTTATTGAGACTGGAAAACAATGAAAGAAAATGATATTGACGTATTAATTTTCATTGTTATTTAATTTTTGTTAAGCATATTGTGCATGTGGTAGATATACATATGTGAAATGAAATCATAGAGTAGTCTATCTCTTTCAGGCATGCTTGTATTTTTTTTTAATTGACTCATGAGATACTCTAAATTCTTTCAAGCGTGCTTGTATGTACTGGAATTGCTACATATGCATTACATGCATTGGTAGTTGAGCTGAGGAGTTTATGATATTGATTCATATGAGATATTGTAACCACATGATTTGCTTCCACTGTGCACATAGTGATTGGTCTTTTTAGAGCCCCGTTGCTTAATACTACTTCCGGTCCTAATTATAAGACTCAATTGACTAATTTGAGAAGATTAAGGAAAGAAGTTAAATTAGTTATTTGTAATAAATATGTATTGCATTTCCTAAAATATCCCTACTAATCAACTATATTGGCTAGGACTATCATTATTAGAAAGACTATCTTGAAAAAAATGCATAAATATGAGAGACAAAGTGGATTGGGGTCTTATATTTAGAACCAAAATAAAAGTCAAACAAGATCTTATATTAAGGACCGGAGGTAGTACTTACTGGATAGCTTTGTAGTGGGAGAATGTGGGACTGTGACACCTCCCCGTTTGTTTGTTAAGGAGGGAACCATAGTCTATGCTTGGGCTTTATACTTTTGGCTGGGTACATCCTAAATACTAGAATAACTTTGGTCGATCCAATATGTGGCCCAGGATAAACCTATGTTTCTAGTCAGCAAAATAAAGTTGGATAAAGTAATAAGGGAAGAAGCATCCATTGCATATAGATATGTTATATTTTTGGCTAAGAATTTTAGTGACACTGTCTACTAACAATTATTTAAGTTATTTCAATAACTGCATGAATGTTAGACAATTATTATTTGCGTGATAGTTTGTATGTGCATGGGTAAACTCTGGGTTATTAAGACGTTGGTGCTTAATCTAATTATTTAACATTTTTCAGATAAAGGATCCCGTAAGATATAAGGAAAGGTACCAGAAGAGTG